AGTAATGAACCAAACTTTCCACAAGTCAGTGGTGCCAATTGCGAGTGTTGTACTTTATGCTATATCACGATCAGAGTTTTCAAACGATGGCTTAAGGTGGTCAACGTTTACTGCGAGAAAAGCTCAATGGAACATTGCTCACGTACACCGTAAAAGCGTCAATGCATTCAGAACAGTAACAGTGGAAAAAGAGTTACTTCCTGGTGGTCGCTGCCTTATCATTAGTTAACAGGACAAGCATTTTTTTAACTGATTTTCCGTCAGAAACACGTTAGAAAAAGTCAAGTTACTTGGTAACCACTCGCACTCTTGAAAGAAAAGTGAAATCCACAGGCTCACTTAATTCTATGCTAATTGTTTGAAGCCAAAAATGAGACTCACCCTTTTAGGATAGTTGAAAGCGTTCGTCATTGTTCTCGGGTGTGGATTATTTTTACGCAGTGGGGAGGTGGGGTGAGGTCCTTGTCTCGGATAGTTGCTCTCTCTAAAATTGGCTCTGTAAGTGGAGATCTCAATAGGATCCTTTGAGGGGTAATCGTATGGAGGTGGCCTGAAGAAGAAAGGAAATGTAGAAGAGAAAGAGAATTATGAAACTAACTATATTTGAATGAATACAAATATGCAAATATGAATGAATGCAAATGTTTTTTCTTCTCAACTAATTAGGTCTTACATCTTCATCTCTTAAATTCGATCATAGTCAAAATTGCTTGCCAAATGTCTTATCTTTGGAACTGGTAAATATTAAAAGACGAATATACTTGTATCTTGTACACAAATTATTTCGATTCGCGCACAGACCGTTTATTTCGCGCCGCCGTTACAGTCGATCACGCAATCTCTTTGATCAAACTTACTTGGCACTTGGTGCAGCGGGTCCAAATGTTCCTTGGAACTCGTCGCTGTACTTAGTTGCCTTATTTACGATGCGATAGTTGGAGTAATTAATTGGAGCTGAAAGTCAAAATGGAACAAAAGAAAAATGTTGTGATTCATGACGGCCGTGACAGGACAAGTTGCTATAATTGTTATAGATTTCTGGTTTAGTTAAGAAATGTTAGTATACTCACGCAAGCTGCTGGTGGATCTGTATTTGAATGAGTTTGGCGGATTCACCGGCTGATTGATGAAATCCTTTTGATATGTGGATTGTATTGGAGTTGCTGCAGATAATGAAATCAAGCTTCATTGAGCATTTACAATGTGAAAGCTACTGTTTAGCCTGATGTTGCTTAGTGTGTGCTTTTATAATGCTGTGCATATAACGTGGTTCTGAGTCTAAGAATGACACCCAGTGTGTAGCGTTATTTCAAGTGCTAATGCTAATGCTAATGCTAATGCTAATGCTAATGCTAATGCTAATGCTAATGCTAATGCTAATGCTAATACTAATAATCATAATAATAATAATATAAATTTTTAGACAGGATAAACCGATCAGTGAATATTGTACTGTTGGAAATCTGCTCTCATCTGTTAGCCTCACGTCTGCATTTGAGTGTGTTTGTGAGATTCCTAAATAAGTAAAAAATACGAAGGTCTCTTTACCGATAGGAGGTAGATATCTCCCGCCCTGGTAAGGCATGTCACATGACAACGGCTACTGACCAATCAAAACCGCCTCACCGGCAAGTTATCTCCTCAAGTGGGCATTAAAGTAGTATCTGTATGAATAGGAAATACGTGGATATTAATTACTCTCATTAATCTTTCCCAGAAATAGTGCAGTCATTCAATTCAGTTACAATAGGATAAAGTCTATATTTGAGATCTTTTTTACTCCCTGGCCATGAATCGAAAGTGGTGCTGAAAAGTAGATTGTGCAATAAACTTTTCGCAGAATACAATGAACAATGATTAATTTTAAAGATTTTATTTGTTTTAAGAGCAGTTTAAGTGAACAGTACTGTAATTTGCGTACTGTAATTTGCGGCGCAGATTTGTTTATCTGAATTTGCTTGTAGGGCTATAGACCGTTATTTGTTGATTAGTAGAACGTTTGATAATGATGGCACACTGCTGTTTTCGAAAAAATTGCGATTTTAGTGCTATATAGATCTTGTTTACTCCTAGGTAGGCAATTGTGCAAATGTTATGCAAACAATTTGCTATCAGGAAACAATCAAATAGACAATTCAAGTTGACATTTCATTATCTCACCAATATGCAAGATACATTTAAAACAATACTTCAGCAGAAACTCATGCATCTATCAATCGTCTAACAAAATTAATGTTATTACGATCATATTGTTTAGCCATGCAGAAGAAAACGCGGTCAGTGAGTCGCTTTCCTTTAGCTAAAAGCCTCTTTAAATACGGCTACCCTTGCACGTAGTGAAACGTTTCGAGTCACGTTGGTTATCAAATAAAATGGGCCCCACGGTAGATATACATGTGCGTTCATGATCGCTTCAGCGAGTGACGAAATTTGATCAGTACCACAAACACCTTTATACAAGTTTGTTTGTAAAGAAACGTTACAAAATGTACACTATGGCCTCTATTGTTTTGCGTAGAAACGTGCTTGAGATATCGTAACTCAAAATCGCCGTTAAAAAGTGCATTGTTTTTTTCTGAAAAACTTGCGCAGTAAAAATCACATCTGCTTAAATGTAAGTCAACCCATACAACTGAAACCTTTGTTTTCTTACCTTAATAGAAGAATCGAAATAGATACCTTTAAGATTATACAACCTCAGTTTAGCGTTTAAGCGTTTCCACGGTTTCCACGAACTTAATCAGCTAAATTCCCCTGATAATTACTTGACCGTGATTGGTTGTTTACACTTGTGTACACGCCATTCAAATCCTCCTTTGTTTAGTCTGTCTATTCATTAACACGCAATCAAACACTCAATGAAAGGACATTAAACGAGACCGTCTATAAACTAGAATAGAATTAATTTGTCTCTGTTTTATAACTCCATAAAAATGAATTCAAGATGAATTTCGACTACAATCGAGTCAATCCAGCGGATTCTAAATTAGCTTCTGCAGTTCTCTCAGTAAGTCTGGGTTTTTGAACAGTGCAACACTCTCTTAAGGCCCTCCTATGGCAAAACTCCCTGGAGACAAGATGAGTTAATTCAAACAAAGAACTGTAAATATTCGCGAATTCATTTACTTTATTCAGTATTCAACTCAAGAAACAAAAGGCGCTGTTTTTGGTTTCAACACGAGCTTTTATTTCAGTAGTCAGAGCATTCAATAATGTATTCTCGCACACAAAAGTACTTGATTACCAACACTCTAAAAGAGTGTTTCACTTTGTGTGTTTACTTACTCAGTCTTATTTACATCAGAAATCCCGGTCTAATTCACCGCCATTTTGAATTTAGCAGATTCAAACATGGCGTGTTTTTGATAAAAATGTGTGAAAATTCCCATTCCTGAAATTTGTTTATCCGTTGAGAGAAAGATTGCCTACATAGCAAGACAAGAATGTAGCTTTTCATGGTCTAGTCTTTCGAACACTCACAGTGGCAATAATAGGTACTCCAATCTCGCATTGTTTTCTGGGTAATTAGGACAGGCTCTGGGCTCAGGGCCACCTTCGCGGGTTACTTTCAATCTTTTTCATAACTTGAATTGAAAAGTCAAATATAATTATTTATCTGCAGGCTGTAGTGAATTCACAATTATCGTTGACATGGCACAATGGATTGCTCTGATTTTCATTACGTTCATATTTGCTTAATATGTCTCCTTTTTACACAACATTTTCTAAATTTCCGATTAAAAAGTTGTGAATAGTTCTGTGAATACTTCAGTCTGTTATCTTTGCAAGTCTAGTTCCCAGTCTCCATGGCCGCTTCTTTGGGAGGGCACATCTAGTAACGAAAAGGAACAAAGTAAATTAGTGTATGAAATTCTTCATGGCTAAAATTTACTTGTTCTCTGTCCTGCTTGCAAAACAGTGCTCCACTCCACTAACTTTTTGAATGAACAGTAAGCTTACATATTTAAGAGACAAGATCAATTTTATTTAGGGAAGAAAATAAAAGTAGCATTAAATAATACTACCTTGAACGGGAGGAACATAATCCTGTTGGTAAATGGACCGAGTTTTGTCCCGGCACACTTTCTTCAGGAGCTCAGAACTGGAAGAAACTCCTGGTGGATGCACGGCACGGCTCAGTGGGGGCAGCTTTTGGTAATGGGACCATACAAAATAGCCCTACGGAGAGAGAAAGCGTATCAGTTAGATTTGCCATCTTACGTTCCAGTTCTGTAGCAGTATAAAGTGAGGAGAGGATTTTTTTCCGGGGCTTGGATCGTAAATCTGATTTGCCCAACACAAATTCTCCTCATTAATCCAAGGAGAATTTTTCGTCAATGATCAATCTCCTTCTTCTCTTGACTTTTAAGCCTAAGTTGGCATATTTATATTAAGAAGAAGTTATATTCTAATCACTTATTTGTGTTGCCTTACCTTGCTCGGATGGCCGAACACCTGTTCCATGTTGTGAGGATGGGGGTTGTTATTCCGGCTTCCAGAGGAGGTGCCAAATGGCACTCTTATGCTAGGTTGCCCCTGGTGACTTAGAAAATGAGTCCTGTATGTGGAGTCAACCGCTGGTTGTCCCGGTGGGTAGAATCGCGATGTTCGTACTCTGCAAGGAATTATGAAAGCAATGTTAATAACTGATGAAACGTTTCCAAAGCTACATCAGTCGGGGACAAGAGTTTGCAAGAAATGAGGGACTTGTTTTTTTGACTCTCACGACCATCAACTACTGGCGGTCAAACGTACAGGCTTGGCCGGACTACGTGCGAAAATTTCCACAAAGACCGCTCCGCTTGAGAGATGACAGCCTAACTAGCTAGAGGCGAGTGTTTGAATTGTCAACTTTCGTCCTGTGAAATCCGTCGTTAACACTGAAAGGCAGTGATGTTCAGAACTTAATTAAAAGCTTTTAATTGTACTAAAAGAGTCTCATTTAAACAATTGCAGACTAAGACTGAGTCGAAATTTGATTATCTCAGGCCTGCTGCAAATCTACTTTGGAATTGAAGAAGATACTATTTTTCGTGCACAGAGATTACCTACAACTTTCATATTTAACCTTAATCTGTTTTGGAAGTCTTGTTACATCGTTGACTGTCTCTGTAAGCACTGTCTGTTCTAATACTAAGAAAGCCACGTGTAAAAACAAATAACAGTACGGCTCAGAACAGTTTAATTGACGAGCATCTCAGTAGGACACGGAATCGAGTGTGACGCGCGAGGCAAGCGCGATAGCAGTGTTTCTCTCGCACGATTTCATTGGATCAATCGCCGGTATTATGCACAAATAAAACGCGCGCCGAAAAATAAAATAAGATCACTTGTACCCGGACTGGGTGGGAGTAGAAAATGCGCGGAAAGGTTTTGTTTGTAGCAGCTAGTCAGTTTATACCTTGCATCTGGGGCTGGAGGTCCAAAAGTACCCGTGTATTCCTTGTTGTAAGTCGACATAAATGCAGATGGGACTGGACAAAAGGCATCCTGTGAACTGGAAGATACTGCAATAGTGACAACAGAACAACAGAGTTAGTGAGGATTATCTTGCCTGCACATTCTAAGCTAAATTGGGTTTCCATTCGGCAATGTTCTGGCAAAGAAACACAACAAATTAACAGAAAGTGAATTCGTCTCAGCCTCAAACACTGTTTAGGTACATAATGGTGTTTCGAAAAAGAACATGCAAATTTATATCCTAAGTATAGTTTATCTCGTATCATTGTTAATTTAAATAAAAATCTTTGGCGGCATTGCTTCATTTACTTAATAATATCGCTCTAGAATCTTCAGTTTTCCTTTGGTTGTACCTCAGCTGGAAATAAATGCCTCAAAGACAGACAGATTAAAAAGTATTCATATTTCTATTTATTCATAAGATTTTGATCGCATGATCAAGATCTTTATACTAACTAAAGATGGCACTTTTACTGTGTCGAGGTATCGTTGTTTGATCATTCCCTAACCTATCGACTAACTAAAAGCCAAGATAAAGGGGAACTAGTGATGATAATTCCCGAGAAACATTGCCACTTACTCGCGCTTGATGTCGTCAAACTTCTCATTGCAAAACTACGCGGAGAAAACAATGATCTGCTGTGTGATGCCGGGATGTTAATTTGCAAACTTGAGTTATTTTGTGCAGCGTAGATTGTGAAAGGCTTCACGTTTTTTCCAGTGTTTAAATCTTTGCTTGCTTCCTTCAGTGAATTACCTCAAGGCTTCAAAATGCTGCTTGAGAAAAACATTGGGCATTAAAATGAAACGTAAGTGTTTTGACGAACACGAAACAGCTGAATTTGTGTTGCTATGTCAGACCGACTCGGTTGTCAGGCATTAGAATACAATGTGGCCGTATAATTACTTTTTGAGTACACATGTTGGCAGGGCATGTGGGATATAAACTGTGCAAGCAAAACGTGGATTAACCCATTGTTTTTAGTTTAGTATAAGAACAAAGCCACTTATGCCGTGTAAACAATGTGTTAAAGAAGTACTGAATTAATTAAAACGTCCATTTTGGGCAAGTACGAATAATTACGCATATTTCCAATCTACACGCAATTCCGTTATTTCCGTGTACAATTGAAAGCACAAGTACTGCTTATTACTTCACTTTTTTCGGCTCCAATATTTATAGTTCAAAACTAGATTCACATTTTTACTGTACAATGATAAGCAAAGTCTACGAGAACGAACAAAAGGCGAGGTTTATAAACAAAGAACAATACAAAGGTTACGTAAAACCTGCATAAATTTATGATTTAATATTTACGTACAAATAAGTGTTTTTGCGCGTGGTGAACGGTAGATAAGCGTACATATCCAAGAGAGGTTGATCTTTGCAGTTAGCAGCCGACTGCTCTATTAGGAATCTCAATGAAAGGCAGAAAGAGATTCAATAATTACTTTACTGCCCTAATCCATTGCGACATTGCTGGGTATCAGCTCTTCGTTCAAGAGCAAGAAACTTACTGCTGAATCCTGGAAATGCCTGATAAAATGCCAGGAAGTATATAACCTCCTGGTCCCGGTTGTTCAGAGGCTGGATAACGCTATCTATCGGAAAAATCGTTATCCAATGGATAAGTGTTGACAAAACAAACCACAGTATCCACTGGATAGTGATTTATCCGGTGGATAGCTTTATTGTCCGTTATTAATCTTTCGAACAACCCGGGCCAGGTGAGAGGAGCGGGAGCCTTGCTCTAACGAGCGGGAATCTGGATCGAGCGATCTGGGTTCGAGCCCTGGGTCCTGTTTCTCGAAAGCCTCGGAAACTTTTCGGGCCCGCAAAGCCATTTTTAGTTACGTAATCGTTATTAAAAGACAGAGAGGTGCATAGGCCTGAAACTTCTTGTACGGAATGGCACCTCTGTCTATATTAAGAAAATGTAAATAAAATAGCTATGTAATCATAAGGTTTGAGATTTTGTTACGGCTCTCCGGGTGCGAAAGCTTTTCGGGACCTTCGAAAAACGGGCCCCTGGCCAGGGTCATTGCATTGTGTTCTTGGGCAAGACACCTCTCTCACAGTGCGTCTGTACACCCAGGTGTATTAACGGGTACCGGTGAAGTAACCCTGCGATGAATTAGCATCCCATCCAGGGGAAGTAGAAATATTCTGAGTCGCTTCATGCTACAGGCACCGGGGTACCATACGACGGTATGGGCCAGAGGACCGACGCAGACTTCACCTCTTTCACTAGGTGGCCAAAGATTAACACATCCCTTTCAAGCTAAGAGGGGTGTGGCAATGCTATCCGGCGGTCGAAATCGGCGCAGGACTTGAAAGATAGCACATTATTTCAGTTGCAGGTAAAGAAAGCTTAATGAGGACGACAAAAACTTCACAGAAGAAAGAACTCTGTCATTCTAGAATGTTGTTAATCTCTTTTTTTTTTACATTTCATACAAACGACGCATAAATAACTATATATAACTTACTTCAAACCGTTATCACTGCAACTCACTCACAATTTCCAAAATAAACAATCTTGAAATTTTAAGAAATGCTAAATTTTTTGGCTCTCCATTCCCTTCTCTTCCTTTTAACCCGTTTTGGGTTTTGTCTTGTTTAGGCTTATTAGAGTCATAAGACAACCCGATGGTAAGTCCGCTAGATGCCCGGCATCGACCAACATTTTCTTACCTGCGATCAAGCGGCATTTCTTTTTTTATGGCGGCCTTCTGCTAAGTTACCCCGAAAAAATCGCGCAACGCCTGATTGCTGGTTAAATAGTTTTTATGAACCAGATTTTCTAAAAGTCTGCTTTTAAATATTTTCACCACCACTGCGATGGGTTACTAGTTTGGATTTCAAACTACAAGCTGTTCACATTTATCCCACTCGCTTAGGGCTTTAGTGCCTCTTGAGTCTAAAGTTGTTGTCAGTCGCAACAACGCAGGACGGTACTTTTGAAACGCGCCAAAGTTGTCCGTCTAAGGATTGGGAATTCAAACTACGGAAAAGCTATTATTACTACAGTGTTCCTAGAAATGCACCAATCTACCTTCCTTTGTCACGAATATGAGAAAAATTGATAGCAAAATGTCAGTTTTCCTTTCATAGTCATACAGGCGATCTGAACTTATTGCGAAGGACACGGAAGGCTGTGGTGGCAGACAAATGGAAGCTGTGACGAACACCGCGCATTTTGGCGCGAACCACCTTGACGTACGATGCACATTTTGGGGGGAAACAGCTGAAGTTGAGGTGAAAGGGTTGCAGTTTGCTGGGAAACATGCCACATGCAGTTTGTAGTAGACCAGAAGCATTGAGGCGAGAAGATATCATTGCGCACAATCCATCGAACGGCTTTCCAGCTTTCTGATCCTCTGTGTTCTCAAGGAGACAGGTGAAGATTATGGTTACTACTTGAGGAAAAGCACGTATTGTAGTAATGCGACCGTGTTCAGAGTAGAGATATCTGCGAGCACCGTCTACAACAAGAAAACACAACAACAATCATTATGATAATCAGGAATTTAAAAAAATTGCGCATATCGGATCAGGTGACCCAAACAGGTGTTAGAGGGTAGCAAACGTGCCTCGCGTTACTCGTCGCAAATCTTTGTCTTTATTATTCTCGACTAAGCTCATTCATAGCTCGTCTGTTACATGAACGGTTTTCTAAGGGCAAATAAAATTATTTAAGCCTTATAATTACTTCATAAATCGTCTGCTACCTGAACCCTTTACATGCGCGAATGAACTTTAATACAAGCCTAATAATTACTAGCAGTGATGAAATTAAAGAATGGCAATACCGAAAATCACGGAAAGATGGATTACCAAATTCTTATAACTAATATGAAAAGAAATACGTGCCACTCAGTAAGGAGAATTACGTTTCGGAGCATACAGACCTGAGCTGCTTGTAGGTTTGTCACTTCCAATAAATTTGTACGGCGGTATGACAGGATCGCCATCGCAAGAACTGAAACGAAATAAATCATTCAGAGCTCACTCAGACACAACAACACCGTGAACTGGCGTGATAACGTTCAGTGTGCTCGCGAGTTCTCGTACATTATCTGATTGGCTAATTACAAAGAAATGAAGTATTTGCCGACCGTCGATACTTGTTCCATTGCTGTGGCAAGCAAACACTGCAATAGTTTTACAAACCATCGATAATACGAATGCTGTGGTTTGGAATGAGACAAATAACAACTTGGAGTGAATCAGCACTTGTTTCTCCACATCCCAAGAGTTGTTTGTTTTTAAATGCAAGAATAATCAGGACAAGAAAATGATCAACACACCTGCTAATAATTCCATCGAGTCATAAGCAAATATTCTGTCCCACAGGAGAAGAAGCTGTTGGAGAGGACCACAGATATATTAGTAACGGTAACTAAGGACTTCCACGTTTACAACATACGTGTGTTGTCACGGGCGTAACGCGCGTTACCACACTGAGTGTTTCTCGTGGTAGATTTTCCCGCCATTTAATTGAGAACCAATCACATCTATGTGCAGGCCAGGATAATATAAGCATGTTATATCACTGCTATCAGCATGTTACTTTTGGACAAAAAGAGGAGTAACATTGGATTTGAATTTACGTTTTCGAGAAGCTTTCCATAATTCACTACTGAACCTCCGACTTGTGCTATTTGTTACTCGGAAAATAATACGTTTCTATCATTCCTTACCTGTTCGGTGTCTAAATAGCCAGCGAATGCATAAATTATCCAGTTAAAGGCCAGACGAAGCCTGCAACAGGGTAGAACACATCAGTACAGTCAGTAATACAATCAGTAATTGTGAGTGTTTTAGAACTTTGAACGATACTCACGGGTGAGCTCCAACTTCCTTGAGATAATAAAACAAAGCAGGTTCATGTGTTTGAAGAAGATTTTCAAACAACACACACAGCGATAAGATTCCCTGCGGAACATAACGGGATCATGTAAACAATAGCCTCCATTTGACGCGAAAATATGCTCGGATATTTGTCCTTGGACATTATCTGTTCCGCAAAGCTCACAGTTTTCCTCGAGCCACGCTCTCGGAAAACTGTGAGCTTTGAGGAACAGATAATGTCCAAGGACAAATATCCGAGCATATTTTCGCGCTAAATGGATGCTATTGTGTTTATTATCCTTCAAATATTGGGGAAAATTGGGAAATATCCTCGGACATTGCTCAGTTTTAGCTGGGGAATATTCGGTCATGTGACGCGTTTAGACCAATCGCGCAAGAGCAAAACTATTTGATAGATTATAAACGTTAACACCGAGCATGCAATTCTTTCAGTTATTATTTTTTTTTGGGGGGGGGGGGGGGGGGGGAGGAGAGGGGCGGGCGCGGAGGTCGAACTCAAGACAAATTAGAAGGTCTGTGGACAGACCAGGATACAGGTAATAAGAAAAGCAGTTGCATATTCCCGGCTATCCCAAGTTGCACCCAACGGATGTTTTCCCGCCATATTGTGCCGCATCCGTGACACAGCTACACTCCATTGCGACCGAAACTTCTGATTTGGGAAATCTGTTTTTCGCTTGTATACTGACAGGAAAAAATGTTTCTCACGAGTTAATATTTCACACTTCATTACCAGTACTACAAATACAATAAATGTTATTACCATAAAGTGCACGGTGAATAATTTACCTGAGGGTGCGAGGACATAGTGTGAAGACGAAAAAAATATCTGCAAGGACAAACAGAATAGAAGGTGTTAGACATCGTACATGTAACTAGAGTCGAAGGATTTTCGTGAAACGTCTCGCACACCGTGCAAAAGATGCAAGATTCGGTTGTCATGACTCGAAAGATATCGCACAGAAGGTGATGAAGATACGTAAAAGAGGCTATGAGGTTCGTATTCGATTTGTAATGATTTAGAAATTGTAAAGATTCATATGCCAAGGGTAGTTTATAGTTGCGACGATGCTGTGAGGATTCGTAAAACAGTATGGCGTCATGTTAGAAGTGATGGGGTATTCAATGAAACTAGTCACGAAAAAACGATAAGATTTCGAGTCTAGATGATTCCTATTGATCAGAGGTCACGAGGATCAGTCGCGGAGAGGTGTCGTGTAAGTGGCCGAGAGCCCTATACATGTATGGTAGGGGGGTACAATAATCGATAAGAGATCGTGTGAAGTGGAGAAGATTCGTATTAGAACTCGCAGTGCTTCGAATTAGAACTCGTAAAGCGTGAATTTGAGAACCTGAGGTCTTCCCATAATCTTGCCACAAGAAGAATTCCACCTTGCGAACAAAGTTATTTATCAAACTTGCTTGAAAAATTACATGTAAGCTCCGTTAAAAATGTAACAAACAATTTAAAATGAGACAAACCTGGTGTAAATTTGTCGGAAAAGAAAGTAAAGTTGGGGAGCTTTCGCACACACAAAACCCAGCGGGGATGCTGCAACGAAACAAGACGAACAGTGGTTTAAAAGTAATAAGTAACTAACGCTTCATGTTATTCTTCCTTAGCAACACTGATCTATCTCACAGGAACTTACCATACATAGAAAATCCATGGAACGGTATGACACCTGAGATGGACAAAAGAAATATAAAGAAATAGAAGAGTCACTCAGAGTCCAACAAGAGTTTTCATCAACTCTCAAAGAGCATGGGTCAAACTGTAAACGATTCTGTCGGACAATTTGAACAGGTTCAAATTCGATGACAGCGCACGCGAGTAAACGAGAGTCGCCGAGAGCACTCGAGGGTCGACGAAAGTCATCGAGAGCTAACGAAAGTCAACGAGAATCGCCCAGAGTGCACAAGTATCGACGAAAGCTGCCGAGAAACACTTGTTTTCTTTCCTTGTTAATAGACTATAACCCGAATATGGGTTTTGACTTGAAGACGATAAAAGGAAACGAAAAGAGTAAAACACACTGTAAATATATATGGCCCTTGTTTTTAATTTACACCAAGGTCTACGATGATGGAAAAAAATTACCCGACTGTCACTCCTTGTCACTGTATATATAAGGACTCCATTGACCATACTTTTCGCGACTGTGTTTTTGTGAAAGAATTTTCATAAGAGGTTATCAGTTGGTTCACTGTAACAAACAGAACTCACATCAATCCGTCCATGGAAGAGAAACTGTCCGGTGTTCCTTCTGAACCATTTGGAAAAAAATGTAACGAAGAAATTTAACTACACGCTACTTTTCAAGAAACACGACATCTACACTAACAAATTGCATGTATTCCTAAGGAGATATGCCTACCATTTGGGGGATAAACAACGGCGTAGTCTTGAACACCAAGTTTGCCTGCAAAAAATATCAGCAGTTTTTGATGGAAAAAAAAATTCACGATTGCCAGTGTTTCCTCGCTCCGCCCTTATCGGGTGATGTAACAGCTCTCGTAAGGTCTCTCTTTGCGACAACTATTATCCAATCAAAAATCCGAAAGGCGTGACATTTGCAGCAACTCACAAGCAAAACCGCTGCCCAGAAACACTAAGCTTAGTGTATTCGCGGCCCGGGGAAGGGGTACTTCCGTAAATTTTGGATAGGTGTGTGCCACGAAGGGTCTTAAATCCTGACCCTATTTAAGGATGAAAGACATGAAAAATGGCACCCTATTTCAAGGCCCAAACTCCAAAAATGATACCCTATTGAAGGAAAAAACAAAAACTGAGAATAGCGTGGAAGGCTCAACTTTATTTCGTTTCTGTAACCTTGGACTTATACGAATAGTTCAGTTTTAACAGATCACTTGTTTTTCGTTTAGCTGGGCATTTACGCACTTCAATTCTAGCCGACACAATTTAGGTACCCTATCTAAGGATCACACCGGGAACACAATGCCAACATGGGCAAAAATGATACCCTATTTAAGGATAGAGAACCTCAAAAACCCTACCCTATCCCGCGGCACATACCTATATAGCCCATATATGGGAGTGCCCCCCCTTCCGCAATTCGCGGGAATAAGATTCTGATAAAAAGAACTACTTGCTATCCACAATATATCCATCACATACGAAATGAAACACCTCAGTACCGTTCGCGGCGAAACAGCGACGTTTTTCTTAAGATTAGTCGACAGATCTGTCAGTTTTGACGATTAACAAAAAACAGCGTCTTCGAAGTTTGGTAAGGCTTGACAAAATTTGATTTAAAATCACCGTCCGCACTTGAAACATGGAACTCATGAAAGGAACTTTTGCTAAACAAAACAAAAATCGCCTACTGCGGATGGACCCTAACTTAATTACTCGAGAACTGACTTGATCAATGAACTAATTACCTCGAATGTATGACTTCGGTGGTGTAGCACTTGACTGCTCAAAATGCTGCAAGATGGATGTGTCTCTACTGAATACAAGCAGAGCCTGCGAAAAACAACATGTTTTGATGAATATACTCTAGTTAGTTATGACGCTATAAAATACGAATTAATATATATTTTTTAAAACTGTTTCTTACTTGGCACAGGAGATCTTCAAAGACAAAATAGTCGTCATCGTTGGAAGACGTTAACTTGATGTCCTGTAATGAGAAACAAATCTTTAGGTTCAACATTCAAAGCATCACTAAGCCAC